AAAAAAAAAAAATCGCGAAATGATTACACAACCGGAAAAACAAACGAAAAAAAATTTTTTTTTGAGGAGAGGACTAGGTAGGAGGAGGGAGGGGGGTCGAATCGTGGCGGTAGATATTTTCCTTTGAAAATAATTTTTTTTTTTTTGGTTGCCAATGGCAAAAACTTTTCCTTTTTTTTTTGTTCTTTTCTTACGTGGAAAAGAATTTTTAAAACTATTTAAAGAATTTCATTTCACGTTTTTTTTTTTTGATCTTCCGCTTCCGTTTTCGCCTTCCCCCTCCTCCCACTCCCCTTCTTCTTTTCCTGTTGGAGAAGAATAATTTTTGTTAAATACTTCTTTCTTTTTTTTTTTTTTTAAATTTTCACGTCAGTTTGTTTAAAAGAAAAAAAAATTTTTTTAAAAATATACCTTGAAAAGAAAAATGAAGAAAAGGTTGGAGTTGGGTCGGTGACGTCGGTGATGACGTTGGCGGCGGTGGCGGTGGCGGTATAACAAAAAATGCGCAAAAAAGTGGAAGTAGAAGAACGAAAAAAGAAAGAGAAAAATGATATTAATTAAGATTAAATGCCCGAATGTAAAAAAAAAAAAGAAAAAAATTTACTTTTAACAAGGGAATTAAAAATGGAGGATTTCAGGTAAAAATTTAATTACGTCAGTTAAATTTTTATTGAGTTAATAATAATAATAATAATAATAATAATAATAATAATAATAATAATAATAATAATAATGATAATATTAATAATGATGATGTTTCGTTAAAAAAAAAAAACTTTTTCCTTCCTTTTTTTTTTTTTTTTTTTTTTTAATAATTTTATTGTTTATAAAAAAAAAAATTTTTTTTCTATTCTATCCCTTTCCTCCCCTCCTCCTTTCCCTCCCCTTCCTCACCATCCCATTTTTTTCCCCTTTGTTAATAACATTCCTTTCTTTTTTTTTGTTTTACTCAAAGGTAATAAAATATATAATTTAATTTTTAAAAAAAAAAAAAACTTTCGTCACCGAATATATATAAATAAAAATGGCGGACGGTACAAAAATACCCTAAATAATAATAATAATAATTAAACAAATTCGTAAATATTTATTATTATTAGTATTATCTATTTATTTATTTAAGAAATTTTTTTTAATGAAATTTTTTTTTCCGTCGTACCTGACACGAAATCCAAACCGGAAATGTTTGTTTATTTATTTATTTTTTAATGATAATAATAATACTAATAATAAAAATAAACGACAAAGCAATTTATTTATTTATTTTAGTTTAACCGTTCGTTCGTTTGTTCTTTTTTTTTTTTTTACCAATCAATAATTTAGTTTTTCATCCGTCGCCATTTTCTTTTTTCTTCTTACTTCTTATATATATATATATATATTTTTTTTTTATATATATATTTTTTTTAACAACAGACGGAAAAAAATTGCTGAAAACATTTTCTTTTTTCCCCTCCTCCCCTCCCCCCGAAAAAGAAGAAAAAACTGACAAACAATATTTTTTTTTCAATTTTTTTTTTTTTTTTTCTGCTGATTTGTTAAAATCTGAAAAGGCAATTCTTTTTTTTTGGGGGGAGGGGGAGGAGGGAGCTTAAAGAAAAAAAAGAAAAAATAAATAAAAAGATATATAAACGCTATGAGAGAAAAAAAAAATCTGGAGAAGAAAAAATAAAAAAAAAAAAACAGGAAACAAAATGAAAGAAAAAAAACGTTTAAGTAA